GGGGGGGGGGGGGGGGGGGGTATGCATGCCGTAGTCGTTAGACCATTGACCCCGCACCCCTACAAAGCCGGGACGGAGCACGCCGGTTTCTCACCGGACCAGGCTCTCGCATCACCAGTCGTGAAGCACCGTGAGGTATTCGGCGAGTCGCATGAAGGGTGCGCTGCATCCTGCTACTGTAAGGGTGTTCGGCATCTTGTGCTTACTTCTTTGCCTGCGGATGACAGCTACGTGTGACTTTATTTATTTTCTGGTACTTTCACTTCCCTAGACAGTTGCAAGCACTGTGTAACTGCCTCGAGGGTGCTTGACCAAATTAATACAAGTGGTGCGATCATCCCCTTTGCGTGGAGTGAGGGTTCTCGACCCCGCACAACATAATCTACTCGACCATCATGGTTACCGCAAAAAAAAAAAAAAACAGAGGCATAAAAAAAGCGGTAACCTGGTTGCCGGGCTCACGAAGTGAGTCGGCTTGTTTTACAACATCGCTGCCAGCGACGAAAACCCAACCCCGATGGCAAACATTGAGGGGGAGGTGAAACAAGAGCAGGGGGGGGGCAGAAGAGTACCTGGAGCGTGGGGAGCGGTGAGAGCATTGAGCCCACGGGACATGGCAACAGGTACGTGGACCGAAAAACAAAAGCAACCCAAGCGTATGTGAGGAACAACACAAGCGCTCGCCAAACGAGAGTGCATGGAAACCGCGACTACGACAACACCACAACACCACAGGCGGGTTCAGACGACCGGTACGTCGACAACCGGAGACCTCCACGAATCGGAGCGCGACGCACGGTAGAACGCGGAATGTGTTGAAATCGGGCCCGTTTTGCACACAATCGGCGTCCCTTTCACCTGCGGGGCGAGGTTGCGCAGTAGCCGGATGATGGTGTTGAAGGGGACCTCCGACCTCACGGTGTCCAGCCACTCCTGTGTTGGTCGGAACCTGACGACAACCGAACAAATAGCGCGCCCGACGGGGGTCTAAACGTAGAGCTCACACCTAGATGCCAGAGGGGGGGTAGGACTTACTTCATCGACGACATCGGAAACCCACGCACAACGTCCACGTGCTGTGACAAGTACCGTAGCGGGGAAACCACTTTGGCAGCACTCTCTCGGAGACGAACGGAAGGTTGCCCGTGTGTTTCGAGAACGCACCACAGCCCTGCAGTTGGCTCTCTCTTTCCTCTCCAGCACAGAGTACAGAGCTTTACACTGCCATCTACTTTTTACATGGCAGCAAAGGAAAAAAAATGCCGCACCCTCTACTTTGCCAAGGCCTTTCCTGCCGACACAAACCGGAAAACAATCTCCAAGGCGGCTGGCCGAAACCAAAAAAACAAAAAACGCACCACACCTGAAGACGATACAAGTCGACTCGGGGGGGGGCACGCTCATGTTCAGCAGGCCCACACCTAAAGATGGTACAAATCTACTTGGGGTGTGCGGAAAAATAACCACGGAGATAGATAGATCTAGTGTGTGAGGGTGGCGTACCGAAGGGGTATCAGGGCCTCGTCCCCGGCGGCCCCCGACGGCGCTCGCGCCTCCTCCGCCTGTGGAGAACCTTGCCCTCTAGAGGACGCCGTCTGTGCTTGGGAAGGTCCTGGGCATCGACGTGCAGGCGAGCGTTGACGGACGGTTTTGTTTCAATGTAGCTCTTGGGGGGGGGGGGGGGGGGAGGAAGGCAGGGGGCAGAAAGCCGAGAACCCCAGAAAAACACTGCTGCCGAACTCTTCCGAACCACGCAAGGCATGTGTGATTCCTGTCTCTTGACGGCCTCAAGCGCTGACAAGAGCTGCAGCCGACGGCAAAATGGGCTTTTTCCGTGGATCCTGACAAGAGCTGCAGCCGACGGGAAATTGGGCTTTTTACGTGGATGGAAAAAGAGGTCGAGCCAGGTTGGCTCGGGGGGGTAGCGACCGATAGGGTTGGTTGTGGGAAACGTGGCAGCATCACCGCCGCCTTCGCGGCGCACGCATCCGCAAGGGACCGGGTTGACACGCATGTATGGGCATGTGCCCTCTGGACCTGTTCCCGACGAGCGGAGCGCATAATGTCTTGCACCTGCACCTCCCTCACCATGCCATCCTCGCGATCAAAAAGGAATGCGTTACAACTGCCGTGAAAAACAGAAAAGATACCTACTGCTCGGAACACGTCTGAGTTAGCAGACGACAGCGCTTCCACGCGTGCTCGCTCGCTGCTCACCTGGCGACTGCCGCAGAACCGCTTGCGACGCAGTAACTCTTTCACCTTTCTCCTCCGGCCCAGCCTGGTGCGGGTTTTGACATTCCGTTGTCGACCCATCAGGACAGATTTGAAACACGGAGGAGAGAGCAAGGAGAGCGCAAGAAAGCGACCAAGAACACAAAACAGAGAGAGGTCGGTTCAGGGGTTCCCTTACCTTGGAACTGAACAAGAATTATATTTGCTAAGGCCAACCATGAGCGCGGCAAAGAAACGCGGCGCGGAAGCCCACCATACACTGTGCCCTCGTAACGTTGTCATGTTTTTCACTCGGTCAATGACGCCAAGGTCAACAGCACGCCTCCAGTCATGAACCAGGCCGCAGGCAACAGGGCCACGCAGCCGCACGCCCGGCTATTGCCAACAGGCGTGAAGGGACGACAACCACCTATTACCTTCAAGCCGATCGCGTGTGCCGCCTCCCCGTTCCCCGCTTCCGCCGCAGCCTCCGCCGCCGCTGCCTCCGCCGCCGCTGCCGCTGCGCGTACCTTCTGTGCGGCCGCCGCCCCCGACCGCGCGAACTTCGAAGCCGCCGCCACGGCTGCCGGCAGGTCAAGCTCGTACAACGACTCGAACGCCTGGAGGGGGGGAGGGGGAGGATGCAAGAACGCCGAAAGGAACGGGATTTGAAAACACGGTACGCGACAGACAAAAAGAAATGGAGCCACCGAGAAGATAATTCCTTCTGGCAATGCACGTTTGCGAGACCAGAAAGAGAGGGCAACGTCGAGTTCAACGACTTCAACGATAACGGATATGAGCAGCCCTCACCTCTTGCCTTCGAACGATGGCGTAAACCAAGTGGGCGTTGCCCACGTACTGGTACTGGATGATGTTCGAGAACATCTCCAGCAGCAGCGAGACGTACGTCTGGTTTGCCTCCGACGCGTACAGATTTCTGCCCGCGCAAAACAAAACAATGCATGAGGTGGGGCGGGGGGGAAGATACGGAGACGCTTACACACACACACACGCGTTTGCCGAGGGTGACGCGATCATTGCTCGCTACTCGCAGCCTCTGTCTTGTGCCGCCAGGAGGTCACGCCCTAGATGAATCCCTTCGACCAATCACACAACAGGAGCGTCGAAAACTGCTGGCGTTTGGATTATTCCTGTCACGGTGCCCCCCCCCCCCCCCCCCCCCCCCCCCATTTTATTC